AGGGGGAGAGGGGGTGGGGGGTGGAGAGGTTGGCATGACAACAGTAACCAGGACAACTGCAGTTCAAACAAACACGGATTTGGCTCCAAGAGAAAGGCGAGATCACGCACCTCGTATCACTGCACAAACAGGAGCAGATGGACGGCTCCACGGTTCGAGCCGGACCATGTGAAAGAGCCACAGTTCGCCAAATGTAAGAAGTCTCATCGATCACAGGCCCCCATGCCACCCCGCTGCCCTGCCAGGCCAGCTGCACATCACACTGAACATCCTCTGATGGCTCTCCTGCTGATCACAGTCGAGGTCAGCCCACATGCTGCGACGGGCCTGCGTCATCAGGTGGTGAGCGGAGCAGAATGTTTCTCAAGATTTTAACCCGCGACCTGGTGAGGGGATGAGGATGGGATGGGGGGGGGGGCTGACAGACCTGCTGCAGAATCTCATTTGAATGTGTTGGTGATTTCCCCTGAGTGCCAGGGTTAATCAATGAGTCAGCTGTGAAGAATGCAGCTCCGGATTACCGTGGGCCCACTTTACAAACCAATCTCTCTGATTCAGGACCGGAAGGGTGGCGGGGTGGGGCGGCGTTCTCCAAACCACTTGTTCCTGAGCCCGTAGACTCAGTGTCATCAGATGGGGAGAGGAAATCCAGCACATGGTTCAGCAGCCTCCTTTAACTCCACAGGACAGGTTGTGGACCACTTCAGGAGCTGGTTGCTAGGGAACAGCTTCAGGTTTACATCCTGCCAGCTGCTGCTGTTGGCAAACACTGCAGCAGGAAATGAATTCCTGCCTGTTTAAAATGTTTCTGTTTTGACTGAAGTGTTTCTGGCCTTCAGAGCTGGTCCAGACTCAGTGAGACTTTAAAAGACAATTCAAACGTTTAGGTTCATGATTTGATGTGAAATTCTCTTCATAATTAATTCCGCGACAGAATATGATATTTTTGATCCCAGGCTGTGAACAGCACTTCCCCTGTGAAATGATCTCTTAACTTTGCTGTTACTGTGATTACGACTGAAACTCTGGTGCTGTTGTCGTTTCCTGTGCCATGTGACGGGTGATGGTACCTGCTGCAGCTGAGAGAAAGTCACAACATTTAGTCGATCCAATGAATTCTCTTCACCTTTTGTGAAAGGAAGAAAAGAAAATATATATATATAAAATAACAATAGTTGTTTTAGGACTGGGCGACTAATCTAATTTTATTTTACGGCTTTTTTTCCCAATGATTATGAAAACCCCCAACCCAGGTCTCCTGTCTATCCTCGACCTGGGCCTTGCTACACCGTTGATTATATAAGTTTAACACTCAGTATATTTATAATGCATAGTATATTTTAGTGAAAATCTTTCAGTATTGTTTTGATTGAGAGACTCCTAGAGGCAGAAGTTACCGGCTGTGCGTTTAACAAAATATGAATCATAGCAGAGGATTTTTACAGAGTTTAAAACATGTCTGTAACTTTAACCATGTCCACTGTCCCTAGATGTGTTCACTACATGTCTTTATCAACATGACCTGAAGACACTGACTCTCTGTCAGTGACTGAATCGCAGTTCGTTACCTCCTAATTAAAAGCTCATTAAAGACAGAAACATTGATCACAATCTGACGACTCTGCGGTTACATAGATTTAAAGCGATAGTTCAGATTACCTGACGCGAGGAACTGATCTATAGTCAGTGTGTTACCTTCTGTAGAGTCAGTTCAGAGAAGCGGCAGGACAGAAGCTGAGTGATGAGCTGCTGTGGACGGGGTCTGCAGAAAAAATGTGTTTAAGCCCCTTTAGCAAATACCCACAGAAAAAGCTGATGCTTTATTATGAACATTTTCACTTCCTTTATCTTTTTACTGACTCGATCTGTACGATTAATCTGAGGAGTAGATCATAGGCCAAAGTAAGATCGTCCACCCACAGTCACATATGTTTGAGTGATTCACTGAACTGGTGGCTCAAGCAGGCAGCAGAGCCTTTTTAACTTCCTGTCAGAACTTTTCAGAATAAAAGAAAAAACTTTAAAAAAAACACACACAAACAGACTTTCTTGTGCTTTTATTATGTAGGCAAAAATCATCGCTAAAGAGGAAGTGATTCTATTGGTTACTGTTGCTGCCATGACAGAGATCTATTTTAGCACCAGATGCTGTGCATTGACTACAGTGATGTGAATGATTGTGTCATTCACTCTCAACATGGATAAAAGTATAACAAGCTTTTTCAGGTGGGGGAGATTCTTCTAAATGTGAGACAGTGTCAGTCTGATGTTGTAAAATTATATAAAAAAAAACCATATCAAAATTATCGGGCGGGCCAGTTTTGGCCCACAAGCCATCAGTTGCCAACCACTGTTGTAGAGCTCAGAGTTGATGCTGAGGAACCATGATGCCTCCACTTATTGCTGGACATACTGAGGTGCAGGTGAACAGAGATGTGACTACATGATCAGTGACTGAATCTATGAACATTCCTGACAAAGAACGATGGACAAGGATTTGCAGCGATCAACTTTTCTATTGGAGTTAAGAAAATAAAACTTTAGTCAGCTGTGTGAAGTTCAGTGAAGGATGACTGAGAGGATGAGAAAAGCCTTCAAGCCACAGGCCACGGAAATGTATACTGACCTTCTTGTAAAGAATTTTAATTTCAGCTTCGGGTTCAGCTGTCTCTCCATGCATGTGCTGATCTGTGTGGTGCTCAGCTGCTTAGCTGCTGTCCCTGATTCATGTCATGAAAATACTCACGCAGAGCATTACATGTGTGTATCTGTGTGTGTGTATATGTAGCTGGCTAGTTCACTGTGAAGGACAATGATGACCTCTTTCTTACACCTGCCTACAAAGCTCTGATTGGTTGATTTGGGGCCACTGTGGAGTAGAGGGAGTTATTTCAGGTGTCGGGTGACTGACAGCTGGAAGGACTGGCTGAATCACCAGCACAAAGGAGCAACAGAATGTCTGGTTCGCTCTCTATCGATGAGCAGAAGATGACACATGATGAAGTTTGGAGTTTGGAGTTGGAGCTTTCTTTCCGTAGCAACAGGGTATTGTAGTTCAGTTCTAAGTTGAAATGATTAAAACAGGTGGGAAAATGTGCTGCCTGTAGCCTTTGAGGAACAGACCCCAATACCTTCGCCTCAGATAGTTGAGTGTGTGTGTGTGTGTGTGTGTGTATGTGTGTGTACTTGTATCAACCCTGTGTGACTGCTGCGTGTCGAGGAACATGACACATGTTAATCACATGATGACAAAAATACAGTCATCCAAACCTGACCGCCCTTTCATGATTAATGACCACCACGCACTCGCCATTATCATTTAAATAGCTTATTGATTTGTCATTGACTATAGGCTTTGAATGGAAAGCGAGGGACATGTTAATATCAGGATAATGGGGCTTGACTGGTGGGTAAATGTTTCCCCAGCGTGACACAGATGAACGCTGTGTCTGCCTCCCCGCACGAGCCTGTCAGGACCGAGGCTGAGGTGACCTTGGAACGTGCCTTACCTTGCCCCCCCCACCACCACCACCACCACCCCTGTTCAGCTGCCTTGGCTCTCTGTGTGGTCGTATGGAGCATGTGTGCTTTAGAGTACAAGGAACATACCCCAGCAGTAGACTGATTTATTGTAAACCCCTACCAGGGCGTCTGCGGGTCCTTCAGACACCCGTCCTTAGTGTTAGACCAAAGAGACACGCAGCAATGCACACCATTCATACTAACACACAGGCTGCACCAATTTCCACCTGTGGTGTGTCATCTTCCTGCAAACAACAACTTACGCTCTCATAGTAATTCAAAAGATGCTGTAATCACACAAAAAACTCTACTTCCCACACAAACATAATATATGACATATGTATGTCCTTATACCAAGAGTGATGCTGCCATATGTGTTATATATACTGTGTGTCACCTATGAGGGGATATATTAATATCACATTTATATACATCCTGGATATGTGAAGTACAATTTCCACATGTTGATATATTAAAAATATCAAAATGAACTTTTATATGTTGGGACCATATTTGTTAATGCTATATTTAATTTATATATTTATGTTAATTGAATAACATACATTTAAAATTTCTATATGCTTGTATATGTATTTCATATTAATTCTAAACATACAGTATATGTCTATCTTTTATATCTACATATACTGACAGGCTTTGGGATGGATGTATATAACATCTGTCTACCATCTAACCATAAATACATATTTGTATGTGCTAGACATAGATATCAGTATATGAAATTGTTCCAATTTATAATTGGTTTCATATGTAATTTTTTATATACCTGTATATGAAAAAAATATACATACAAATGATATACAAATATGTATATATATACAAATTATGTATGTAGAAATCATATATGAATCCTTTTATAATATATATATACTTATATACGTATAACATTATACGTATAATGTATAACGTTGTAACATATAAAAGTATAAAAGTATCATATAAAAGTTCATCATATAGATATTTATTTATATACAGTATGTCCATATACAAATTTTACAGTGGGTATTTCATGTATGTTATAAACTTATATCTTCATATATCCACAGGTTGTATAAACTATATGTGATAATAATATATCCCCTGATAGGTGACATAAATGTGTTACATTTCTGTGTGACATCTGAGCTACCTAGTGATTCTAATAGATCTGTTTACATGAACCCGGTTTGTTTGTGAGGTAGGTAAGTCCGATTATTAGTTTTATTCCCAATTAGATTAATTAGATTAATAAAAAAACTCCACAGTTAATGTGCTCTCTGTTGTTGATTTAACTATATTCAAACCTATTCCAAGTGTCATTTAAAATGTCTGTTTATTGTGAGACCCTGAATAGTCACATCCCTTTGGACCAAGGGTCGTGGTTATTTGACCAATGTTGTCAAGTCATGCTCTGCATTACCTCTGCAGGGATGTCGGGCACAGTGTGTTTCTGACAGTCCTGCTCTCTGTGTCCACAGTGTGATCCAGGTGAGGCCACCAAGCTGCTGTACGACCTCCTGTACACAGAGCCCATTAAAATCGTGCTGATGCCGGGCTGCAGCTCCGTGTCCACGCTGGTGGCCGAGGCTGCTCGTATGTGGAACCTCATCGTGGTAAGAACCGTCTCCTTTCTGTTTGTGGGTCTGTCGCATTTCACCTAACCTGCAGTGACAGCAACATGAAGGGATGTATTTACATTAGAGAAAAAGAAAAACAACAGAAGAAGCAGTGCGAAGCATGAGCAGCGATAGTCACCACGACAAGACAAAGAAGAGCTCCAGATACTGAAACACTGCTGCACCCATCTGTGGGTGCTGCTGTGTGAAAACAACACAGAGAACACTCGGCAAACACCACAGGAAGACATGCTTCACACCAGAGATATACAGTCAACAATCTACACTCGCAGACGGTGAACTGTCATAGTGAGATGTCACAGTCACGTTAGAGCAGCAAACGTTAAACACAGTGGTGATACTGCAGGATTACTGCTCCTCCGAGAGGCGGCCCTGTCACACAGGAACAAGGCACAGTGTTCAAAAGCCTTATTCAAAAACTCTTACTTCTTTTTAAATGATTCTTAATAGACACTAAAGGAACCTTGTGGGGTTTTCTTTTACCCAACATGTAAACATATTTACATTCAGTAGCTGTGTCCTTGTTCAGGGGCCGCATCAGTGTAACTAGACTGTCCCATTTCAAAGGCTCCTTCAAATGCACCCTTCTTTTCTTTGGCCTATCCCAACCTATCCCAGGATTCATTGCATGCTGGTAATGAAAATAATATGGCAGCAAACATTTCAGTTTGGCCCTCGTGGTCTACGACGGCTATGAAGGGCCACTCCTTCGTAGACCGCCTCCTCTGAAGGATGCGGCCCCTGGATCAGGACACATTGTGTATTTTTGAGGTCAGCGGTGTTTGTGTGTTACTGTTTGTGGTTTCTCCTCTGGAGATGTAACATGTCATATTAAGAACAAGCTGTCAATGTGTTCACACCATGGGTACATGCAGCAGCAACACAAATGGTAGAAAGCAGAACCAAGTTGTTTCCAAAGAAGAGGCACAGGACCCTGGGGGCCCCTGTTCCTGCCCCTCACTCTGCATTGTGAATGTATCTTATTGCCTTTACAAACCCTTCATTAAAACAAAGTGAGTACAGTTTTGAATTGAAACAAAATAATTACAGCCAACCAGACAGTGTCCCTGAGGGTTTGAGGCCCCAAGACAGGGGCCCCATTTTATCCAGTCAGTAATCTTTGATAACAGTGGGTCGCCTTGATGAAGCCTTGAATGACATTAACCTTCACAGAAAGAGAGCAGACGTACGACATTACACGACAAAGACCAAATACACCGTCATGTAGTAACGACACTGATGAGACTAACACGTCTGATTCAGCTCTGATCACAGCGATTGATCCACGACATCATAAGTTCACTTTGTGGTGAGTAAACAGAATTTTTACAAGATGAGAAAAATGAAGGCAAAGATCTGCCTGGTCGTCATCAGGTTGATGATGTGTGAGGACATCATCAGACACCAGACTGAAGTTGAACTCATCAATCTGTGTTAATTTTTTTAAATATATTTAAATTTTTATTTTTTTTGAATAACTCTGATCAGAGTTATTTTAAAGGTCCACCTTTATTTGTATATGTGCACAATATATCATGAACATAATTACCACCAGGGCAACGGTTTGATTTCAACAATGTTCGGGACAACCAAACGGTTTATTAACATAAACATAAAAACTATACACAGTAACAGATCAAAGTCATCAAAGTCAAAGAAAGTTAACTTTAGGAAATTACTTGTTAATGGAAATCACGTCAACATCATTATATTCACCAGTCCTACCAGCGTTGCAGTTCCACTTTTCTCCTTGATTTCATATTTAAGACCGGCTCCACCTGCACCTGCTGCAACAGTAAAATGCTGCGAATCCAGTGATGCATCAGTTTTAACAACTTTATAATGAAAGGCTGAAGATGTCAGCTAGGCTGCTGGCTGGTTACTTTATTACCTGACGCTCTGGATGGTGAAAAAGCTCGTGACTTGGGGTGGGAATGATTAATCGATAATCGATAATTGATCGTTAAGAATTTTGTGGATCACATGCAATCTGATCGATCTAACGTGCGTATCAACGAGGTTGTGTCGTGTAGTGTGTCTGACGTCTCTCTTATGGAGGCATGATATCTACAAAGTACAAACCCTGTTGCCATGGACAACATGAAGTTATGTGTGCTGCGGTTCAGACAACAGAGGCAGAGAGACATATGAAAACTTACGCCCGTGGTTATCACAAACATAACTCAAGCCTCTCTCCTCCATCCTCATTTACTGACAGTCCACTTTAATGTCAGTGTCACCAAATGTTGTGACATGAACACAGGCGAAAGGAGCCAGATCCAGTTCAGAGATTTATTAACACAAAGAGGAACAAAGGCTCACAGGATGGTGAGACCTCAGGTGAGACCTCAGACTGGGCTGGGGCGGAGCTGCAGACCTCGGGCGGATGGCCCAGGGGCAGGAGACACCTGCTCCTGATCTCCATCCGTCGGCCGCGTCGCCGACTGGAGGTCAGGAGCTAAGTTGATATCAGCTGACTTAGGAACAGACGAGGCGTCGACAGACCGACAGTAACATCTGGTTCAGAGATCTGACATCCATGTAACGTTAATGACTTTTTTGAAAGGTACTTTGTTATCTATTCCTTTCTAACATTAGCTTTTACCTCAGTGAGCACTTTATTAGGAACAGCACACTAACACTGGGTAGTTCCTCAGTTCTTTATGTCATGGCTCCACCAGATGTTGAAACTTTCCTCTGAGACTCTGTTCCATGTCCACATCATTTATGCTGATCAGACGAGGCGTTGTCTGTCTGTCAGCTGTCTGTCAGCTGTACATTCAAGCTGCCAATCTCCTGTTCTACCACATCCAAAAGGTGTTCTACTGGATTCAGGTCTGGAGACTGGGGGGGGGGGGGCTCCTGCCTGTTTTAGTGTTGTTTCTCTTTGTGTTCATTTCCTCTTCAGTTCAGGATGACAGTATCTTTAACGTGCTCATCTCTATCTCCTGTCTCTCAGCTGTCATATGGCTCCAGTTCTCCGGCTCTGTCCAACCGCCAGCGTTTCCCCACCTTCTTCCGCACCCATCCGTCTGCCACTCTGCACAACCCCACCCGGGTGCAGCTCTTCCAGAAGTGGAAATGGACCAAGATTGCCACCATTCAGCAAACAACAGAAGTTTTTACATCAGTGAGTCATGTGTTTAGCTAAAAGTGTTGAAAGACAAGACACCACAATTTCCAAAATGTCTTCCCAACTCAGTGATTGAATTTTGAACTTGTCTCAACTGACCCAAGCCTGCCGAGCTGTGAATTTCTATTCATGTTGAGAGAAACTCTGTACTCTGTATTTAAAGATTTTTGTGGTGTCTTTTTTCTTTCTCAGCCCATCAAAAACCAAACGCACATGAGCAGAAGTGTATGGACTAGATTAACAATGTGTTTATTTGCTGTGATCTAAGCTGCAGTTGTTAGCATGCTCTCGTAACAGTCAGCAGACATGATTGGTCACCAGCTGGAAGTTAGAAAACAAGACTAGGTCAGAACCTAGTATTGCGCTGGACTGCACATGGTCAAAATGGGAAACTGAGGATGCAGTTGCAAACTGTTTTGGAACCACACCAGGGACTTTATTTTCCTCACCTGCAGAAGGTAACAGGTCTTTTTTATTTCTAATTCTCTCTGTTTAATTTGTACAATTGGTCAACTGCATTATGTATAACAAACTAAACACGTCCTGCAATTGTTTCAAATTAAAGGCTCTGTAGTGTTTCAGTGGACAGAAGCCCTAGGGCTTTTATGGCTGTGCTGCTTTAAGCGTATTGTCTCATTTCTGGTTGCTGGTGTTTCTGTTGTTTCCATGCTATTCAGATCTACTAGTTTCTTTAGCTTACCAGTTACCCCAGGCAACACTGCAGGTGGTAAACGCCCCTCTAATAGAAAGAGCTATTTTGAAATCAGCTATCATTTTGAAAGAGCTATGGCCAATGGGGAGGCTCCAAATCAGTCTCGTGGCATTTGGCTGACCAATGGCGGAACTATGATCAGTAAGTCAGTCAGTCAGTCAGTCAGTCTGGGCTGTTCCAGATTGTAGGGCTGGCCCTGCTGTTGGTGTCCAGCCAAAAAAGCTTGTTTGTAAAAGTATTCACAGCAAAGCTTTTCAAAGCAGCAGTAACTCAGGAGAGTTGTTAAGGTTTTGGCTGGACCACAGCAGCGGGACCTGATTGACTGAGTGAGCATATTTCAGCTTAATGCCATATGACTGAGTTGTAGTTTCCCCATTGCCTGCTCCCCTTTCAAAATGATTTGGCTCAAACAGGTTCTATTAGGGAGTGTCAACAGCTGCAGTGTTGACAACTTAGCTCATTGTCTCTTGATTGAGAGATGTTTTTTTAACCAAACTGGGTATAAACCTGGTTGAGGTCTGGACCATGTATGGATGCTGCCCAGGTGGATCAGGGGTACACCTCTTGTTATGGGCAGTCTATCAAGCTGCTCTCATTTCCTGGCTGCTCAGGAACTGCAGGGAAGAGGAGGAGCACTTCCAAAACACTGAGCCTCGCCTCCATTACAGCAAATACAATGCTGTCATTACATTTATCATTATTACTAAGGGAGGCAGAGGAATAACTAAACACTGAGCAGAGAGAGCAGGAGAGAGGGAGTGAGAGAGGGAAGTCATCGCTAACTGCTAAAGTGACTATCAGATCTGAATAACATGTAAACAACAGAAACACCAGCCACTAGAAATGAGACAATACTCTTACTACAGTACAGCAATAAAAGCCCTGTTAAGAAATAATGGTTTCCATTGCACTGAAGTGCTAGAGGACGTTTTATTTGAAATGATTACAGGAAGTGTTGAGTTTGTATTAACAGGTAATGCAGTAATTTTAACACGATGGACAGGAGCAGCTGAAAACAAGGCTTTGTACTAAAATACCGCTTTGTCTGATTCTACATCAAACATAGGGAGTTAGAAATAAAGACTTGTTAAACTTCTGCAGGTGAGGTAAATAACAGCCCTGCCCACTTTTTGAGGAAACAAGAAAACAAAAATCATAATCATACAGTTTGTCTAGAACACACTAAAGTTCACTCTCATGTCTAGATGCACATTTACCCACGATGAGATGATCTTAAGTGAAGACGTGTCTGTGTGCCTTCAAAAATTAACATAATTAGCTTTTACAACGCAAAAAAAAACGAGGCTGAAAAATGATGCAGCAACATTTAAGTGACAAAACCTGCAGTTCCTATAATGACCACTAGAGCCCGACTCCAACAGTGAGTCAATCCCCATAGACTCCCATGTTAAAATGTCAAACTTTACAGCAGAAATAAACATGTTTACAGCCTGGTACAAAAACAGTTTTTGTCTATAGAGCTAATTTCCTCCTTCATGTCAACTGTTTATATAACTCACCTGTTTACATTTTATTAAGACTTAAAGTTATGTAGCGTGGCCTCTTTGAGTGACAGGTGGGTGAGTGTATACTTGCAAGTCTTGGCTCCACACACGCTACACCTCTTTGACCATTTTTGGATTTTGGAGATAGGGGTGGAGTCAGGCACTGCCAAGATGGTGACAGTGGCCAAGCTCTCTCTGAGCTTCAAAACCGCTCTTCAGAAACCTGTGGGTGACGTCACAGAGGCTATGTCCATCTTTATTTATAGTCTATGATAAAGTCACTGGAGGATAATGAGAAAAAGAACAGCAGCTGCAGGCTGTGTACGTTACTAGCCAGCAAACAGCTAACAACTAGCATTTATAGAGTTGACTCTTTGGGTGTCTGGGATGAATAAACAATGTAGAAACACTTCAACTGGAGAACGAGAGATGGATATGGTGTGTACAGTTCTTAGGCAGCAGATGATGATGAGTTAAAAGGTGTGAAGATGGATATCATGGATATGGTGATAACACTGCCATGTGAGTAAAAAGTATATATATATATATTTTT